ACCTTTGTGCACTGATCCAGTTTTTCAGGAGATGGAACCTGCGTAAACGTATCCATATCAAAAACCTGGGACATCCTACACCTCTACACATAAAGAAAAAAATGCCAACCAAGGTCTTACTCACACAAAAAACCCCACAAAAAACACAAAACCACCAACCTGCCAGGCACACACCAGCAACCTGGAGAGACGAGCCGGACGAGCCCCCAGTTTTTCGTTAAGAGGTCTTACTCTCACATAAAAATACAATATACATACAACAAATGTTACAGAAATATAAATGTTACACAATATGGCTGCAGCCGTAGCACTCTGTCTGTCTCTGTCCATCTGTCTGTCAGAAGACGTCAAAGACACAAAGTTTCGATGGTTCTCCCTGTTGGTTCTCTGATAGTTCTCTGATGGCTCCCTGTTGGTTCTCTGATAGTTCTCTGATGGTTTCCTGATGGTTCCCCGTTGGTTCTCTGATGTTTACTGATGGTTCTTTTATGGTTCTCTTCGGCTTCTCTGATGGTTCCATGTTGGTTCTCTGATGGTTGCCTGTTGGTTCTCTAATGGTTTTCTGATAATTTTCTGCTGGTTCTCTGATGGTTTTCCTATGGTTCTCTGATGGTTTTGTGATAGTTCTCTGATGGTGTTCTGCTGGTCCTCTGATGGTTCCCTGTTGGTTCTCTGATGATTCTTTGATGGTTACTTGTTGCTTCCCTGTTTGTTCTCTGATGGCTCCCTGTTGGTTCTCTGATGGTTCCCTGTTGGTTCTCTGATGATTCTTTGATGGTTCCCTGTTGCTTCCCTATTTGATCTCTGATGGCTCCCTGTTGGTTCTCTGGTCGTTCCCTGTTGATTCCATGTTGGTTCTCTGATGGTTTTCTGATCATTTTCTGATGGTTCCCTGCTGTTTCTCTGATGGTTCCCTGTTGGTTTGCTGATGGTTTTCCTATGGTTCTCTGATGGTTTTATGATGGTTCTCTAATGGTTCCCTGTTGGTTCTTTAATGGTTCTTTGATGGTTCCCTGTTGGTTCTCTGATGTTAACTGATTGTTCTTTGATGGTTCCCTGTCAGTTCACTGATGGTTCTTTGATGGTTCCCTGTTGGTTCTTTAATGGTTCTCTGATGGTTCCCTGTTGGTTTTCTGATGGTTCTCTGATGGCTCCCTGTTGGTTCCATGGTGGTTCTCTGATGGTTGCCTGTGGGTTCTCTGATGGTTTTCTGATCATTTTCTGATGATTCCCTGCTGGTTCTCTGATGGTTTTCCTGTGGTTCTTTGATGGTTTTGTGATGGTTCTCTGATGGTGTTCTGCAGGTCCTCTGATGGTTCCCTGTTGGTTCTCTGATGATTCTTTGATGGTTACCTGTTGCTTCCCTGTTTGTTCTCTGATGGTTCCCTGTTGGTTCTCTGATGGTTTTCTGGTGGTTCTCTGATGGTTCCCTGTTGATTCCCTGTTTGTTCTCTGATGGCTCCCTGTTGGTTTTCTGATGGTTCCCTGTTGGTTCTCTGATGGTGTTCTGCTGGTCCTCTGATGGTTTCCTGTTGATTCCCTGTTTGTTCTCTGATGGCTCCCTGTTGGTTCTCTAATGGTTCCCTGTTGCTTCTCTGATGGCTCCCTGTTGGTTCTCTAATGGTTCCCTGTTGCTTCTCTGATGGTTCCCTGTTGGTTTTCTGATGGTTCTCTGACGGTTCCCTGATGGTTTTCTGATTGTTCTCCGATGGTGTTCTGCTGGCTCTCTGATGATTTTATGATTGTTCTCTGATGGCTCCCTGTTGGTTCTTATATGGTTATCTGATGGTTCCCTGTTTGTTCCCTGATGGTTCCCTGTTGGTTCTCTGATGGTTTTTCTGATGGTTTTCTGATGGTTCCTTGCTGGTTCTCTGATGGTTTTCCTATTGTTCTTTGGTGGTTCCCTGTTGGTTCTCTGATGGTTCTTTGATTGTTCCCTGTTGGTTCTCTGATGGTTCTTTGATTGTTCCCTGTTGGTTCTCTGATGGTTCCTTGTTGGTTCACTAACGGTTCCCTGTTGGTTCATTGATGGTTTTGTGATGGTTCTCTGATGGTTCCCCATTGGTTCTCTGATGGTTCCCTGATGGTTCCCTGATATTGTTCTGCTGGTTCTCTGATGGGTCACTGTTGGTTCTCTGATGATTCTTTGATGGTTACCTGTTGCTTCCCTGTTTGTTCTCTGATGGTTCCCTGTTGGTTCGCTGATGGTTTTCCTATGGTTCTCTGATGGTTCGCTGATGGTGTTCTGGTGGTTCTCTGATGGTTTTCTGATGGTTCCCTGCTGGTTCTCTGATGTTTACTGATGGTTCTTTGATGGTTCCCTGATGGTTCTTTGATGGTTCCCCGTTGGTTCTTATATAGCTCTCTGATGGTTCCCTATTGGTTTTCTGATGGTTTCCTGTTGGTTCTCTCATGTTTACTGATGGTTCTTTGATGGTTCTTTGTTGGTTTTTCTGATGGTTCTCTGATGGTTCCCTGCTGGTTCTCTGATGGTTTTCCTATTGTTCTCTGATGGTTCCCAGTTGGTTCTCTGATGGGTCTTTGATTGTTCTCTGTTGGTTCTCTGATGGTTCCCTGTTGGGTCTCTGATGGTTTTGTGATGGTTCTCTGATGGTGTTCTGCTGGTTCTCTGATGGCTCCCTGTTTGTTCTCTGATGGTTCCCTGTTGGTTCGCTGATGGTTTTCCTATGGTTCTCTGATGGTTCCCTGTTGGTTCTTTAATGGTTCTTTGATGGTTCCCTGTTGGTTCCCTGTTGGTTCTCTGATGTTTACTGATGGTTCCCTGATGGTTCTCTGATGGTTCCCTGTTGGTTCTCTGTTGGTTCTCTGATAGTTTTCTGATGGTTCCCCATTGGTTCTGTGATGGTTCTCTAATAAGTCTTTAAAAACTCTCCAGCTAATTCAGAATGCAGCAGCACGTGTACTAACAGGAACCAAGGCTATTCAAGAGAAGGCTGAGACACAGGATCAAACATGGGGGGATTGCACATGTGCAGTGTAACTTGAGCTGCGATGCTGGAGGGTGACAGCAGGGGCGCTAGATAAAAAGCGCAGGATCCACTCAGGTGATCAAGGAGTGCGCTTGGTGCGGTCTGCTTGGACTTTTGGACGGCAGCTGCCTGAAGTTGTCGGAATTGCATTTCTGTCATTCTCACCACAGGCCACCAGTGACAGTTCAGTAATAAGTTGTGAAAATGACATGCATGCATGCACATCCCCCTTATTCCGCGGTCTCCTGCCATCTACTGAGCCTTTGAGGAAGTGCAGACCAGATTTTACTGCGCATGTGCAATCCCCCCATGTTTGACCCCGTGTCTCAGCCTTCTCTTGAATAGCCTTGACAGGAACTAAGAAACGAGATCATATTTCTCCTGTTTTAGCTTCTCTGCACTGGCTCCCTGTAAAATCCAGAATTTAATTTAAAATCCTACTGTTAACTTATAAAGCTCTAAATGGTCAAGCTCCGTCATATCTTAGAGAGCTCATAGTGCCATATTATCCCACCAGAACACTGCGCTCTGACAACGCAGGGTTACTCGTGGTCCCTAAAGTCTCCAAAAGTAGATCAGGAGCCAGAGCCTTCAGCTATCAGGCTCCTCTCCTGTGGAATCATCTTCCTGTTACGGTCCGGGAGGCAGACACCTTCTCCACATTTAAGACTAGACTTAAGACTTTCCTCTTTGATAAAGCTTATAGTTAGGGCTGGCTCAGGCTTGCCCTGTACCAGCCCCTAGTTAGGCTGACTTAGGCCTAGTCTGCCGGAGGACCCCCTATAATACACCGGGCTCCCTCTCTCTCCCTCTCTCTCTCTCTCTCTCTCTCTCTCTCTCTCTCTCTCGTATTCTATTACTGCATCTTGCTAACTCGGCCATTCTGGATGTCACTAACTCGGCTTCTTCTCCGGAGCCTTTGTGCTCCACTGTCTCTCAGATTAACTCATATCACAGCGGTGCCTGGACAGTGTGACGTGTGTGGTTGTGCTGCTGCCGTGGTCCTGCCAGATGCCTCCTGCTGCTGCTGCCATCATTAGTCATTAGTCATACTTCTACTGTTATTATACACATATGACTATTGTCACACATGTATACTGTCTGATATTAATACATACTTTCAACATATTTTACCACAGTAGCCAGAACTATAATATTATTACTTTCATTAATGTTGTTGTAAGCTACTGTCATTACCGTATGTCCTGCATCTCTCTCTGTCTCTCTCTCTCTCTCTCTCTCTCTCTGTCTCTCTCTCTGTCTCTCTCTCCCTCTCTCTCTCTCTCTCTCTCTCTGTCTCATTGTGTCATACGGATTACTGTTAATTTATTATGCTGATCTGTTCTGTACGACATCTATTACACGTCTGTCCGTCCTGGAAGAGGGATCCCTCCTCAGTTGCTCTTCCTGAGGTTTCTACCATGTTTTTCCCCATTAAAGGTTTTTTTGGGGAGTTTTTCCTGATCAGCTGTGAGGGTCATAAGGACAGAGGGATGTCGTATGCTGTAAAATGAAAATGAAAATCAAATTGAAAATTAATTGAATTGATGGTTTTCTGATGGTTCTCTCATGGTTCCTTGATGGTTTTCTGATGGTTCTCTCATGGTTCCTTGATGGTTCCCTGTTAGTTCTCTGATGGTGTTCTGATAGTTCTATGAAGGTTCCTTGTTGGTTCTCTGATGATTCTCCAATGGTGTGTGGTTGCTCTCCAGAGACAGACTCGTCCTCCAGACAGGAGCAGATGATCTGATGTTTCATGTGTTCTGTTTTATCTCTGATCCACTCTGACTCTGTGCTCTCTGTTCTCCTCCTCCTGGTTCTCCTCCTGATCCTTCTCCTGGTCCTCCTATTGGTCCTCCTCCTGATTCTCCTCCTGGTTTTCCTCCTGGTTCTCCTCCTGGTCTTCCTCCTGGTCCTCCTCCTGGTCCTCCTCCTGGTCCTCCACCTCCTGATCCTCCTCCTGGTCCTCCTCCTTATCTTCCTCCTGGTTCTGCTCCTGGTTCTGTGTAG